GGATCTTCGAATACCGCCGTTTATGCCATGGCACGATAACATGGACCTCCTGGACTGGCTGGGGCTCTACTTTGGTTTTCAGGGAGACAACGTCAAGAACCAGAGAGAGCATCTGGTGCTTCACTTGGCAAACTGTCAAATGCGCCTCCGGCAGCCGTCGACCTCCTCGGACCGCCTTGACTCTGAGGTTCTTCGCCGCTTCCGGCAAAAGCTTTTGAAGAATTATACTTCCTGGTGCTCTTATTTGGGGAAAAGGTCTCAGGTTCGGCTTCCAAGTCGCCACAACTCCAACCTCCAGCGTAATGAGCTCCTGTATGTATGTCTCTATTTATTGATATGGGGTGAAGCCGCGAATCTGCGCTTTGCCCCCGAATGTTTGTGCTATATATATCATCACATGGCAGTGGAACTCAATTACATACTTGATGATCACACTGATGAGAATACTGGACAACCTTTTGTTCCTTCTACATGTGGTCAATTTGGTTTCTTGAATAATGTTGTTACACCATTTTATGTGACAATTAAGGGCGAGGTTGAGAGGAGTAGGAATGGCACTGCCCCACATTCAGCTTGGAGAAACTATGATGATATTAATGAGTATTTTTGGAGTAGGAGGTGTTTTCAGAGGATAAAATGGCCTATTGACCTTAACAGTGATTTTTTCTATACTGCAGAAAAGAGGGTGGGAAAGACAGGATTTGTGGAGCAACGGACATTTTGGAATGTGTTTAGGAGCTTTGATAGGTTATGGGTTTTGTTGATATTGTTTTTTCAGGCTGCTACAATTGTTGCATGGGAGGGGACTAAATATCCATGGCAGGCATTGGAGATTAGAAATGTGCAGGTTCAGTTGCTTACAATTTTTATTACCTGGGCTGGTTTAAGGTTTGTTCAATCAGTACTTGATGCTGGAACTCAGTACAGTTTGGTATCAAGGGACACGAAATTGCTTGGTGTGAGGATGGTTTTGAAAAGTATGGTTGCCCTTACTTGGACTATCGTGTTTGGGGTGTTCTATGGAAGGATTTGGAGCCAGAAGAACTCTGATGGTGTCTGGTCTTATGAGGCAAACCAAAGGATATTCACATTTCTTAAGGCTGCTTTAGTGTTTGTCATACCAGAGTTACTTGCTCTGGTGCTGTTCATTCTTCCTTGGATTCGCAATGTGATTGAAGAAGCAGATTGGACTATATTGTACATTTTAACATGGTGGTTTCACACCAGAATATTTGTTGGCCGAGGAGTTAGAGAGGGTCTCATTGACAATGTAAAGTACTGTGTTTTCTGGCTTGCAGCGTTGGCTTCAAAATTCTTGTTTAGTTACTTTCTTCAAATCAAGCCTCTTGTTGGCCCAACAAGAGCTCTATTGAATCTCAGGAATGTCAATTACGAGTGGCATGAATTCTTCACTAGCACCAACAGAATGGCAGTAGTAATGCTGTGGCTTCCCATTGTCTTGATATATCTAGTGGATATGCAAATCTGGTATACAGTGTTTTCCTCTCTTGTTGGTTCAACAATCGGATTGTTCTCACATATAGGCGAGATTCGAAATATTAAACAGCTAAGACTTAGATTCCAGTTTTTTGCAAGTGC